TAATATCATCTCCATTTTCCAGAGGAGGTAACTGAGGCACAGAGAGGTTAAGTAAATGCCCCAAGGTCCTACAGCAAATAAGTGGCAAGGTCTGGATGTAGACCCAGACTCCTGGGTCTGGGCTCTTGCCGGGCCTCTCCTGCAGTCTGCACAGGGGGTAGTCTCGTTCCCATTTTGAGGGAAGAGGTTTTAGAATCGAAACTCATCTTCCTGGGGCCTCCTGGAGACTGGCTGGGCACTGATCACTGCCGCTGACCTAGCGATGTGAATCCCCAGGCTCCTGGTGGACGGCCAGGTCCAGGGCTGTCGGCCGCTCGGCTTCGGAACACCAGCCTGTCGCCCGCGGCTGTGGGTGACGAAGGGCTCTTGGCTCTGCTGTGAGATGAAGGGCGCTCCGTGGTCGGCCTCCTCTCCTGCGTCACGGAGATCAATAGGACATCCATGGTGACAGATAAGAGAGAGCCACCGTTATCCATTCATCCTCCTCTGCTCTCCCCGCAGCGACTGAGCAGTGTCATACCCGCGATCGCACCGGGCACCTGTCTGTCCTCTCGCCGCAGCGTGTCCTGTCCCCGAGAGTCCTGGGGTGGGGGTGCGAGTGCTCATTGGTCAGCCCCGGGGCCTGGCCTTGAGGTCCCCTCCATGTGTCCCTGTCCTTTTTGGGCCTCATCCCCATCTGCCCCAGCAGGTGCATCTGCACCTCTTCATCCTCCACCTGGTGTATCCGGGTCACCTCTCCCTAGTTGGCTTGGGGGGTAAGGAAAAGTCTCCTTTCAGGGAACAAAGAGCTCTTGGGTTTTCTCTGGGAAAGAAAAAGACCCCAACTTCACGTGGCACCACCCAAAGGAAAGAGGAAGCAAACAGAACGGGAACCGGTCTCCCCCACCCTTCACCAGTCTCTGAACACCTCCTGCCACCCGTGCTGGGCTGGAGAGAGGTGGCACAGGTGCGAGGAAGAGGGCGGGGAGGGTGGGCTCCCAGGGCTGGCTCATTTATTCAGTTGCTGTGTGACCTTAAACAAGCCACTGGATATCTCTGAACCCTTCTCCTCTGGATGGGATGTGAATGAAGAGCCGTGGTGAGTCCCCGTGTCTCGAGCCCTGGGCTGGGAGCTCCCGTGGCTTCTCACAGCTCCCTGGGAAGCGATGGCCTGTCATACCACCTCAGAGGAGAACAGTGAGACTCCGGTCTACATGAGGGCTGTGTGGCACCACTTGGCTACGATGTCACAGTGTCACAGGGACAGATCTCCATGCCCTGCTGGCCCCGTGGGGCCGCTGTGAGCAGCAGGGATGTACCCATTCTGCTGGGGAGGCTTTGTGGCCGCCAGACACTGCATTGGGTGCTGGGGAAGCCCTGGGGAACCCCCAAACCAGACCCAGCTGGGCCTGGGGGAGACGGGACAGCAGGGGCTGGGAGGAGACGGGGAGTGGGCTCAGGTGTCCCCAGCAGGGCAGATGGCCATCCACTCTCCGTTCAGGGCTGTCCCTAGATGGTGGCACAGAGCCCCGCGCAGCATCTGCCCTGTGCTGCGGGGACAGACTTACTTAACAGGCAGGAAGAGCGTGACCAGCACCACGGAGAGGGGATTTCACGGACAGCAGCGCACAGCGTGCAGCTGAGCCGGGGGTTGCCGGTGACTCACGGGGGCTTAGGCTGCAGAAATGGCAGGTGCCACCCCTTGCCACCCCCCATCAGGAGCTTCTGGTTCTATGATGACACCTTTACCCCAGAACTGCCCGATTTAGGTAATAAACGAATAAGGTGAACATTGGAAATTTGAGTTTCAGACAAACGATGAGCACTTGTTTTACTGCGAGTCTGTCCCGTGCAATGGTTGGGACACACGGATTTTAAAGTGTTTGCTGTTTATCTGAAACGCAGGTTTAACTGGGCAGCCTGTATTTTTCTGCAACCTTCTCCGGGCCTCCTAGATGCTGGTGGCACTGAGTTGTCCCCTCCCTCCCCTCCCCCCCGGCCTGGCTCACAGGATGCTCCTATGTATCTGGCCTCTTAGACATGAGTTTCCTTTAATTAAGCTGCTGGGATGAAATAAAATGTATTAAAGGAAGATTAAAATTGATTCCCTCAGCTCAACAAAAGCCAAAGCTATTGAGGGAGATACTTAGGAAAACAAAGCACTTGGGCCGGTGAGAAATGCCCCTGTGGCTGGGGCTCTGAGCAGCGGGTGGCGGCCACCCAGGGCTGGGAGACCAGAGGTGGAGCTGCCCCCCAGGGGGCGGCCTCTCGGGGTTGGTGCGAGAGGCCCTGCTGGAAGTGAGCTTCCCCTCCATCCCAGGCAGGCCGTGTCCCTGGGGAAGCTGACCTTGGCCGTAGCTTCGCTCTGAGCCTCGGAGGAGGACGATGGGGAGGGACGCCAGGCGCGGGCAAGGCTGGGCTGGCGGGATCCACACCTTGGTGCAAAAGCCCTTAGCGAGCGCCTGGGCCAAGCTCTGGTTCTCCTCTGGGTTCTCTGAAGCTCTTCCCAAGCAATGGGCCTGGGCGTCTCCACAGGGTGCCCGGGAGACGGAGGGGAGGAAGAGCTGTAGACATGGGGGCCAGCTGTGGCTTCTGTCATGGAAAGTTGACCGCTGATGACGCTGGTGAAGGCTGCTCTTGGACAGGGACCCCATCTTCACCCCTGAGGCAAATGAAGCGCCAAAGCCCCTGGGGACACAGCCGTCACACGAGTAGCAGAGCCCAGAAGGGAACCCAGGTCTTGGGCGTGACACCCGTGACCATAGCGCTCTGCTGTGTCCTGGATGTGGGAGGTCGTGGGACATTTTTAAGTGGGAGGGATGTCACAAAAGCAAGAAGTCGATGAAATCCATCTGGTCCTGTGTCTGCGGCCAGTTTAGATGTAAATGCACATGAAGGGGAGTCCCCCTCCGGAACCTAGGGGTCAGCAGGTGGCAGGGGGACCCAAGAGAGGGGACCAACAGGGTGGATTTGCTAAAGGAGCTGCTCAGAGGGCGGAGCTGTGGAAGGGTCAGGGTTTCAGATGTGGCTGCGGCAGGCAGGGTGGGGAAGGGTGGCGGGACGGTGGGTTTCAGACCAGCCAGCGCTGGGCAGCGGCTCAGTAGCAGGAAGCAGAGGCCTTGGGGCCACCCGACCTGGCCTGCATCCGCCCCTCCCCTTCACTAGCAGCGGGTTGAGTGCCCTTGGACTCTCTGAAGTCCTCTGAAACCCCACAGACCCTGGGGCACTTCAGAGCACTTCAGACCTCGAAGCAGGTTCTCAACCAGTAAAGTCTGTGCAACTATCTCAAAGCCCAGAGCTTCCGAAATCAGAAAGGCTTCCGGTCCCACGCTTTGTGGGTCAGGCTAGAAGATTCCTGGGCCTGTGTCTCTCCAGTGGAATCAAGAGTAGGACAGCTACTCCGTAGGGTGCTGGGGATCCTAAGTAAGGAGAGTCATGGAAAGGGACAGACGCGGCGGTGAATGTGCCTGTCCCTGCTGGACTGGGGCAGGGATGGTCTGGACCTAGGAGCGGATGGGAAGGAGGGTCCTTTTATAGGGGGACAGACAGCTGAGGGTGGTGAGAACTCGAGGTTGAGAGAGTGGTTCTCTAAGGTGAGCCCACTGTACTGGCTCCCTTCATGCTTTCTTTGCCCAAAAGCCATCTGCCTGCCGTCCTGCCTGGCCAGAGGGGACAGGAAATGTCACATTCCTAACAAACAGAGGCAGGGGCGGAAGGCCTGGCGGTCAGCATAGAGAGATGAGGGCTGGTCATCACTGGGTTGCTAGAGAAGGAAGGGAGTGGAGGCTTAAAGGGGGATTCTGGGAGTCTCTAAAGGAGCAAGACACACCCACGCCCTCGGGCACCCAGCTCTGGGCCCCTTCTCTCTATCTCTATCTCTGTCTCCGTCTCCCTCTTAAATAAAACTTGCTTTCTGTGTTGCCTCCACTTTTCTCGGGTGTTTAATCTCCCACACCAGGGCCACAGGACCCCCTTCCGAGACCAGGATCACTTTTATTCATTCGATGACTTTTCATTGAATCCCGCTGTGCGGAAGGGAGCCCTGGGTATCCAGAGCAGAGACGCTGATGCGGACTCACTTATGGCACAAACCGGGTCTGCTTCCGACCTGTGAGCAGCGTCGGCAGGAGCAGGTGGCATCCCAGCACGGCGTGTGGCACAGGAGGGGAGCAGTACTGTCTGGGGGTGCTGGGCGTGCACTGCAGACCAGCCCTGGGAAGCGGGCCCAGGGAGCCAGTTCTAGCCAGGTCCTACATCTCCACTCCTCTGGGGCTGCTTGGCTGCCCTCGTCCAGATCTTACTTTGAAAAATGCTGGTGCAACACCAGGAGTCAACCACGGGCTGCCAACAGGCGGGGGCACCAGCCATGATCAGCGTCTGAGTGCCCTGGGCCAGGGTGTGGGGACCCCTGGGCAGCCCCTTCCCCCACACACCAGCCTCTTCTGGTGTTGTCACACAGTTTTTATCAGAAGGTTAGGTTTTCTGCCTTTATTTTTTAAATGCTTTCATTAAAAATGTGGTTTCTTCCACATCACAAAATGAAACTGCTGGCTCGTTGTTCTACACACACACACACACACACATACACACATATTTTTTCAGGGAAGGCCTAGTTGGCTCAACAGTGTATAAATGTATAAGGGAAATACTGCAGTCTGCCTTCACCCCTCTTGCCTTAACCCACCGTGAGATTCACACCCCACCCCACCCCTGTCCTAGTCTGAAAATGACTTGTTTCCACAAAAGGAGACTTTTGGGGCTGCAGATCTGCCCCTCAAATCCTTGCTAGCTTGGGCAGGTGCACCCTCTCCTATCAGGATTCTGGGCTCAGGCTTGGAATTGGAAGCCAGCTTTGCCCTTCCTTGCTGTGTGACCCTCAGGCATGCACACACCTCTCTGAGCCTGCCTGGACCACCTCCTTGGAAGGCGGGCCAGAGAATTGGGATAGAGCTGTGACGCCCCCAGCCTGAGTCACTGTCCTGCAAACAGCCCAGGTGACTGTTGTGTGCGGGTCTTGACAGGTTGGGGACCAGATCCTGGAGGCCAACGGGCGGAGCTTCCTCACCATCCTGCACGACGAGGCGGTCAAGCTGCTCAAGTCGTCTCGGCACCTCATCTTGACCGTGAAGGACGTCGGGAGGCTGCCGCACGCCCGCACCACGGTGGACGAGACCAAGTGGATCGCCAGTTCCCGGATTGGGGAGAGCGCCACCAACTCGGCAGGGTCTGGCCTCTGCGCACGCGCACTCGGGGCGCGGGGACCCTGCGCGGTTTCCCAGTCAGGACGCCCCCGGCCCCGGCCGCTGTCCGCTCTCGGAGCTGGAGCTGGGACGGGCCTCCCCGCACCAGGGTCCCCTTTATTTTCAGGCCGTGGCTCTGGGCAAACCCCTGTCCCCGGCCTTAGTTTCCCTGTGGACAGCTAGGACGCAGGACCAGCTCTTCATTTGCTGTCAGACAAAGCCCGTGACACTTTCCTGGGTTTCAGTCCCTTCATCTGAAAACCGACCCTGCCCCGACCCCAGGTCTACCAGTGAGAATACCAGGAGTTAAGGGTGAACCCAGAAGTCATACCAGAGGGACGGTTGCCAGGTGGCTGCAGAGTGGCTAATAATGTGACATGTCACCTTGGGTCTTCATCAGATGTCTCAGCCTGGTGGCCGGCCAGTGGCCCCCTGGACAGATACACCCCAGAGCATCCTCTCCTTTCCTTTCTTTCCCTCGCATAATGTGGGTTTTTGTTGCAGTTGTCGTTGTTGCTGTTGTTATTTAAAAAGACATCAGGGTTCACGTAAAAATCTGAATTTCTGCCTATTAAAAATGAGGAAGTGTTAGGAAGATGGCAACTTGAGCCTTCTTCACCACGCTCCCCACCCCTCCCGAAAACATGGGCTGGAGCTGAGCCGCCCCTGCGGTTGCCTGGGAGCTCCAATTCGCTCGTCCCCCATCCTGGCCTTGAGCTGCGCGTCTGGGCCGAGCCTTCTCCAGCTGTTACCTCTAGCGCTGCGGCTCCCAGATGCTGAGCTGGGAGCGCTTGGCCCCGCAGGGGCAGAGACAGCGCAGGAGTCCACCTGGCGTGGGGTTGGCAGTGCTGCCCATGTTGTTGGGGGGGGGGGCTGGAAGCTGCCCATCTGTCTGGGGGTTCACTGAGTAGCCCCCAAACTGGCCAGCGGCACTTGGGGGCCATGAGTGTGTGGCTCCAAAGCTCCGCCCTTCCTGGCCCTGGCTGGGCCTGGCCATCTGCTCAGACGGGCAGCTGAAGACGGCTGTCTTTCTCCACAGGTTTCCAGGGGATGTCACAACAGAAGGGACCAACAAGGTAGGGTGGGGGCTTGGGCTTCGTCTCAGCTCTGGGCGAGGCAGAGTGTGCTGAGCAGCTCTGCACCCGAGACAGTTCAGCCCGAGTGGCTGACCCCCTGGAGGATCCAGGCCCTGCCCGGGTGCCTGGGTTAACAGCAGGGGACAGAGCAGAACAGGCCCCTGCCACCCTGGGGGTGACACCCAGGAGGTCAAAGAACAAAGCAAACCTTCAAACAAATGCCTGGTTAGAAAGGACGCCTGGTACCATGAAGGCAAGGAGGTGGGGTCGAGAGAGAGAGAGAGAGAGAGAGAGAGAGAGAGAGAGAGAGAGAGAGCGAGCGCACACACGCAGATGAGGCTCCAACTCAGATGGGTGGAGGAGGGCTGTGACCCAGTTTGGGGAGCAGCAGTGCCCGAGCCCGGAGGCAGGGAGCAGGCTTGGACGGGGAACAAGAGGACAGCAGGCAGGATGGCAGGTCCCGCGGGGCGTTCTGGGCCATGACAAGAGGTATGGCTTCTGACCTCAAGTCCTGGGAAGTTCCTGAAAGCCTTTTAAGCAGGGAGTGACATGGTGACAGGGTTGTACCAGCTGCTCTGAGCAGGTGATAGTGAACACCAGGGACCAGTGCTGAGCTCAGCTGGTGACGAGGAGACAGTGGCGTGGGTGGGGGGGGATGGTGAGGACCTGAGTTACATTGTAGAAATACAGACACTACTGGCGTCCCCAGTGTCCCTGGGGGGCCGGTGAGACCTGGAGGAGGAAAGGGGAACCTGGCGACAGCGCCTGACTGAGTGGGATGACGTGTGCTGTGCGGCTCTTTGCCCCTGATTAGGTCACACAGTGGGGTTTGTCCGGGTGCCTGGGTGTGCAGAGACCACGGAGGGGCACTGCGGCGGGGCCGGGCCTCTGGCCCCAGTCTGCAGAGTCCCAGGCCTCCACCTTCCTGTCTTCCAGCCAGGATTCTATAAGGGCCCAGCCGGCTCCCAGGTGACGCTGAGCAGCCTGGGGAACCAGACCCGAGTGCTGCTGGAGGAACAGGCCCGGCACCTGCTGTCGGAGCAGGAGCGCGCCACCATGACCTACTACCTGGACGAGTACCGCCGCGGCAGCGTCTCCGTGGAGGCCCTCGTGATGGCCCTGTTCGAGCTGCTCAACACCCACGCCAAGGTGACCTGCCTCCCTGTCCCCACTCCTTCCCCCCCAACCTCCCAGGAGTTGGGCCCCACTGAGCTGCGGGCAGAGACCAATGACCAAGGCAGCCCCCCGGCAGGCTCACGGCTCCCGGGGAAGCAGACCAAGGGCCCGACTGGGACCCTGCCGCCGCAGTCTGCAGTGGGGTGTCCTGGAACACTCCTGGCAATGCCCAGGCCCCTCCCCGCTGTCAGGAACTGTGACAAGCCGCAGGTGACCCTGCCACATACCAGCCTCCAACCCTGCTCCCGCAGGAGTCCGTCTGAGGCTCAGAAGCTGCACAGAGGAAGCAGTGACGAGATCCCAGGGAGGGTGTGCAGGAAGTGCCACGGGGAGACATGGTCTGGAGGGGGAGGGTGCTGGGGTGGAAGGGACCAGCCAGGGGCCTCGTGGCCTGGACATCATGGCGTCTTCAGGGACGTAGGGTCGTGTGTGTTTATGCTGAGGAGGAGGAGGACGAGGCAGGGAAGCGGGGTCAGAGGAGGGGGCTGTGTCTGCCCAAAGGTGTGTTTGGACTTTCTCCTGAGGGTACTGGGGAGCCATAGAAGGTTCAGGCAGGCCACTTGAGAGGACTAGGGACACTGGTGCCCGTGCTCTGCTGAGTGCCTCTCTTGTCCCCACCTCCAGTTTGCTGTCCTCTCTGAGGTAAGAGGCACCATCTCCCCACAAGACCTGGACCGCTTTGACCACCTGGTGCTGAGGCGGGAGATCGAGTCCATGAAGGCACGTCAGCCGCCGGGCCCTGGGGCCGGGGACACCTACTCCCTGGTGTCCTACAGCGACACGGGCTCGTCCACAGGCAGCCACGGCACCTCCACCACCGTCAGCTCGGCCAGGGTGAGCCCCCCGCCTGGTCTGAAGATTGGGGCAGAGTGGAGACGGTGGCTTTGGGGTGAACCGGGCGGGTTCCAGTCCCAGCCCCATCGCTTCCCTGCTGTGCCCTGTCACTCTGAGCTTTGGTCTCTTCGTCTCTAGAAGCCTGATGGTTGCTGAGCGCCTACTGCATGCCAGGCACGGGCGCTAGGCCGAGCAGGCCTAGCGGGACTCTCCGTCTGGGTGCCAGAGTCCAGGGGAAAGGTTAAAACAAGGGTCATTAGGTCATTAGAAAAAAATACAGCCAGACGTGGTAATCCTAGTGGCCTGGGAGGCCAAGGCAGGAGGATCGCGAGTTCAAAGCCAGCCTCCGCATCTTAGCGAGGCCCTAAGCAACTCAGTGAGACCCTGTCTCTAAATAAAATCCAAAAAAGGGCTGGGGAGGTGGCTCAGTGGTCGAGTGCCCCTGGGTTCATTCTTCAGTACCGAAAAGAGAAAAATACATACAATAACGATTTGTGGGAGATCTAAAAGAGATGACACAGCATTTGGCGCTGTGCCTGGCTCAGGGTGAGCACTCAGTAAACAGCAGTGGTCACGGTGACTCGGATCCAGAGGCCACCCCTTGTCTGGAGCCCCAGGCCCAGCCTGACCCGCTTACCGACTTGCCTGCCCCACCCACAGAACAGCATCTGGACACCTCGGGACGTGACTCTGTGCCCGGCCCAGGGTGCTCAGAGGCAGGCAGAGTCCTTCTGCCCTCTGCCCCTCCCAGAGACCACGGGTCATGGCCATCCACACGGGCCAGGGGGCGTGGCTCTGCCCCCTCCTCCCCACTCTTCCAGGATAGAAGGGGAAGGCATGTTTCTCAGCACCGTTGCCCCCAGGTGCTGAGCTGGGAGCCATTACCGGGGGAATCTCAGACCACGAGGACACGGGGTCATGGGTCCCTGTGGAGGGAGATCAGAGCTCACCAGGGACAGCAGGTCCAAGGTCGTAGACACGGGTGGTTAGTGGACATGGGTGAGCCGTGGCCCTGTCGCCCGCTCCCCTGTCTCTCGTAGACGCCCAGTGTGACTTCTCTTTAGCTCCAGGGCTCTGAGGGATCCTCTGCTCCTGCACCTGCCTCTCTAACATCCTCAGTCACCTCCATCCCAAGGTCCTCACCCTTCCAGGGGATCCGGAAGTTGCTATGCGTCCCTCTAGGGCTCTGGACGTAGTTGCTCTGAGTTCCTGGAGGAGCGGATCACTTCCGGAGTGGGACAGGGCTGCAGCTGGTCCTGGGCACACATGGCCTCAAGCAGCCGGACTTTGGCTCACGGGGCTGTGCTTTCTCTGAGTCCGACTCCATGAGATGGGCCACAGAAATGGCCACAGAGGGCTGCAGCCGCCACGAGCCACTGTTCCTAAACCCGGGGAACCACAGCCTGTCATTCTGCAGTGGTCCCTTTGGAATCAGGGACCAGAGCTCCAAGGAGTGGCTGGGATGCCTCCTGGTCCAGGAGGCAAGGGTCACAGGGTTAGGTCCTGGGTGTCCTGGGCCTCAGATTCCCCTGGATAAATGGCCTGAGGGGCCATAAATGGCTACAGCAGCCTGGGACCAAGGGCGGGGCAGGCTGGAGGGCAGGCGGAGAGGCCGCAGGGGGCCCAGCAGCGGCCTGGCCTGGCCTGGGTATCTCCCCTACTCAAGCACTTCCTCCGGCCACTCTGGACCCCAGCTGTGACAGTCGGGCCTTCCCTGCCTAGAGTCACTCACTGGACATGGCCGCCCCCCCCCCCGAGCTGCTGGATCTCAGGCCACAGGGAGCAGGGAGTTGTGGGGGCCAGATGGAAGGGGAGGACGTGAGGCTCCTGTGTCTGAGGCGGGATGGACTCAGGACAGCTGTCACTCGGAGTCCTCGTCCTGGCAGGGAGCACGGGCACGTCAGGATGGGGACTCCCAGACCCGGGCAAGCTCCCAGGCTCCCGGGGGGACTCCCAGGGAAGGCTGCAGGGCACGGCCAGGCCAGCTGGCCTCCCGGTGCTCGGTGTCCTCCCTTGCAGCAGGGTCATAACTCCACGTCCCTCAGCTGTGGGGAGGACTGAGTGGAAGGCTACCCGGGGCCCATGGGAGCAGAGAGCCTGCCAGGGCCCAGAGGTGCCGCCAAGGTTTTTCCCGACCTGTGTGGTTTCTTCCACGCCACCTGGGGGTTTGCACCCAGGCCCCTGGAAAGCACCAGGTGACGGATGGCCATCCCCTTTGATGGCTGCCCATGGGGGCAGTGCCAGGAGCCCACTTCTCTGCACTATGGTCTCTGCAACGCGGGGCTTGGGCCTCCCCAGAGCCAGCCTCCCCTGGTTGAGGGTTCCACGCAGGGAACCTGCCTTTCATGAGCCGGTGGAGCCCAGGCACGTCACTTTGCTCTTCTAAGCCTGTTCCTGCCAAAAGGGACAGGGACCCCAGCCCTGCCCCAGGGAGGAGCATGTCCCTGTTCATGGACAAGCATCTTTCTTGCGAGCAGCAGGGAGCCCGTCTCCTTCGTGGCAGGATGGAGGGGTGGGGAGCGGTGTGCCCTTCCCTCACCCCCCCCTCCCCAGCTGGAAGGGGGGAGAATCTCGTCTGCATGTGCGTGGGCCTGGGGCGGGGGTGCCGTGGCGGCCTGTCCCTCATATTTATTTGATGTATTTTTCTTTTTGCCTTTTGCCCATCCTTCCGCCCCAGGAGAGGCTGCTGTGGCTTATAGACCTGATGGAGGTACCGTCCTTCCTGCCGGGTGGGGACTGTGGGAGTCCCTTAGCCAGGGGCAGAGGTAGGGGGCTCTGGCCCCTCCGGCCACCCCTCTGTCTGCACTGTCCCTGCTGGGGACTGGGCTTTCTTCTTGGTGCTCGCTGTCTCTCCTGGTCATCCATTCACCAGGTGCCCTCAGGCCCTGGAGTGAGGATCGATCACTCTGTTCAAATCCCCGCTCTAGCCCGTCCTTGTTGTGTGACCTCAGGAAGTGGTCTCGCCTCTCTGGGCTCAGCTTTAGATCTGTCACAATGAGGATGACAGTGTCGGGCCTTGCTGTGGAGACACCCCTTGGCCTTTGCATATGGCGATGCTGCTGCTGGAATCTGCTCCTTTCCACCTCACACAACCTGTCTCAGTGCAAAGCTCAGGTGCCACCTCTTCCAGGAAGCCTTCCCTGATACTCTCCAGAGGTGGCTTTCAGCCCCTGGCTCCTCCAGTCTTGTCATGGCTCTTAGTGTATTTTTCCAATCTCTGCAGGCCTGACCAGTTACTCCCTTGACCATCAGCTGTTGGAGGGCAGCAGCCATGTCTGGGGTCACCACTGAGCCCCTGCTGCTCAGCACAGAGCCTGGCTCACGTAACTAATTCAAGGCTCTTTTATCAACCTTAGAGCTGACCTCCGCTGAGAGCTCTTGTGGTGTAGGGCTTTCCGTCTGTGTCCTCTGCACCCTCCCAGGATCCAGGAGTGGCCGGCACAGCTATGACCCCCATTTTACAGAGCAGAGAACTGAAATCCAGAGAGGAAAAGCAACTTGCTCGAGGTCACACAGCTAGGGAAGAGGTGGAGGGAGGATTCCGACACCCGGCCCGCTCGCCTCTGAGTGGTGCCCTGGTGACCGAGGCGCTTCCCTGGTGGACCTCTCCAGCCTCTGGCTCAGAGTCACCAGCCGTCTGTCTGTCTGTCTGTCTGTCATGTTTCCTCCCCTCCTCCTGCTCTTCCTTCCGTTCTGTTAAATCCTGATGGAGTGCTTGCCGTGTGCTCTCCGCAGCCCTCCGTGCTGGGGAGTCGGTAGAAAGCAGCTGAGGAGCCCTGCCCCCTGCAGAATCCAGAGATGAGCAGGAATCGCAGGCAGTTAGCCAGGTGGATGACGGAAAATGCGCAGCAGGTTATGTGACAGGTGCTAAGGAGAAACTTAGAGCAGGGAAGGGGACTCCGTGGGGCTAGGAAGGGACACATGAGTAAGACTGGAGGTGATGGAGAGAGCCACCCCACATCTAGAGGAAGAGAAATTTTTAGAGCAGGAATAGCATGTGCAAAGGCCCTGAGGAGCTAGAGTGCCTGAGCACACTCCAGAGTCAGTGCTGGGAAGAGGAGAGGCAGATTATATGCTGGGGACTTTGACTTTGAGCAGCATGAGAGCTCTGAGCAGGTAAGAGCAGGGACTGGAATGGTCTGATATAGTTTTGGCCTGATCTCTTGCATCATCAGGAATAGACAAGCATGGATCTGTCCCATGATGAACAGGTCTGTTCCCATGAACCAGCCAGGCCAAGAGGTCTGTAGGTCATGAAGGAAGGCTACGCAGCCTGAGTCCCTAAGAGAGGTGGCCGTGGGCTGTGCAGGCACCAGCTCTCCCTGCTGCCTGGGCAGCCCCTCCCTCTGCACACCTATAGGACAAATCTCAGATTGGACACCCAGCGCAGCCAGGCCCCCTGCACGCAGGGCCACAGGATGGAAGCTCCTCCCCCTGATCCCCTCTTGCAGGTGGCCAGGGCCTGTCCTGGGTGTCCAGAGCCTTGCCTTACACTGTCCCTGCAGAGCAGTGTGCCCTCCAGACAGCTCGGCCCACTCACTACCCACTCCACCCGAGGCAGAGCCCGCGGCCCCTGCAGTCTGAGTCTCCCCTGTGTCAGAGGTGCTGGGAAAGGTTCAGAGCAGCACGGCGAGGAGACAGCTGCACCCCATCTGCTCTCCGTGCTCCGAGCATGGGCTGCAGCATCCTGCGGGGGGAGAAGGAGGTCGGAGCCCTGTTTAGTCCTCCTCAAGTGCCAGGTGCCGTCGGCAGCATCGCTGGGTGCCTGTAGCTCTTGGCCTCAGTAATGCTGACCAACAGATCACCGTCAAGGGACGAAAGCCGCACACATCTCTGACTCGTGGCCCAATCCCTGAGCTCCTGGGGCTCACACGCTCTTCCTCTCTGCTGCAGTAACTGCTGTGTCGGCACGGAGGACGTGGGTGCAGGCAGGGGCTCCATCTTTCCCGTCTGCATCGCGGGTGCCAGCCCAGGGCCTGGCACCAGTGGGGACCCAGGAA